AAGATGTGGGAGCAGCGCCCCCTCCTGACATGCCTCACACACTGCAACTCTCCATCTGCTCTGCACAGCAAATCTGTCCAGGGCATTCATGGGACCCACGCTCTTCTTTCTAAAACAAACACGTGGGGGCCTCCCTGGTGGCACTAGGGGTTAAGACGCAGCACTATGAAGCTATTCACAGCCATTGTAGCACGAGTTCAATCCCCAGCCAGGGAGGTGACCCACATGGTGCAGCAGACCTCTCCTGTCTCCCCACTGCTCCCCTCAGCAGTGGATTTCAGTCAATCCACCTGTTTTGCTCCCCACTCTTCTCTGAGGAATCCTCTTATACCCCGCATTTCTGGCCTGCATCCCAGCTCTTGAAAGCATAAATAAATAAATCTTTAAAAAAAAAAAAAAAAGGAATTCTCACTGCCTCCTCATGTGAGGGCACAGTCCTGTGACTGCTGTCCAACACCGGAGGCACCTGGCTGCCTTAAGCACAGGGCTTAGCGTCGCTGAAATGCCAATAATTAACTGTAAACTAAAGGATTCAGGTATTTGCTCCTAATGTTCCTTCTACTCTAGAACCTAGTTCCCTGATGTGTACTTCTGTATCTCTCACCTGGCCTGGAAACTCCTAATGGCCAACAGGAGTTTTACCTCAATGGCACAGGAGTTTTACGAGTCAGTACTTACAATCTGTGCCATTTGTTTTATGCTCATGCACACATGCACACGCACACTCACACACACACACACACGATGCAGCCTTTTTTATTTTTGCCTGAGAGAAATGACCTGTTCTTTTTTACTGTTTATTTTACACTCCCCAACCAAAGAGAAGGCAACTAAATAAGGGATGGTGAATAAAAGTTAAGTAGGTAAGTACACAAAAGAAAAAAAAAGAGCTTCCAAGTGAATAAACATACTCCAATATAGTACAGGAGAGCCTCAAATAATCCCAGAACAACATTTGGAGTTCTTATGCTGACACCTAGTGGACATTTTTACTAACTTCTACTTTAAATTCTAATTACTTTAACCAGACTTGGTGTTTTGTCATGTGACACACGGACTTTAGAACAGATTCAGGTTACTAACAACTGAAAGAAAGTCCTTTTTTCAGAGGCCCTATCTCCTGGTGTCAACTTGGTCCACCAAATGAAAAGGAAAAAAAAATAAAATGGTATTTTGAAACAGAATTTTTTAAGGCTTAAATAACTACACCTTTTCAATTACCCCAATGCTTTAAATATAATCAATATCATTCAATTTAACAATTTAATTATATTCTTTATGCTAATATACATAATGGGAGGACTTACTACCCTGCCATAGAATAAACACACAAATTATAGACTGAAAAGTGATTTCAGCAATAGGTACTGTCCTCGAATGCACATCCCATTAAAATGGCCAGTTCAAGACAGCTTAATAGAGCTTTTCTGTAATTGTTAGAGCAGTCAGGGAGCTCAAAATGTGCATAATACAGGCAAAAAAATAAATAAAACAGATTCCACTACTCCAGCAGCTATCTAAGAATGTTCATTTTTAAGATCTGCATGACTTACTCCCTTTCTAGCCACACACACCTGGAAAACGTCGCTGCCAAAACTGCAAAGCAAGTCAAGTATGGGAAGAGGAAATGACACAAGTTACCAGATGAGACTATGGTAACATCAAAGGCCCCAGCTTCAAGGTCGGCATGGAATACAGCAACCTACATCCTTCCAACAGGCCGACAGATGAGAGAAACACGGCAAGAAGCTCAATTTCCACATGCAATTGGCCATGTTTCCACCGCTGTCACAATGACTTGACAGCTACATGTAATCCAGCAACAAGTAGACGCTTATAATGGAAATGAGGTGTTGTCAATGAAATTGTTCATCTTTGAAAAAATAGTCTAATTTCCTTCAAATTCCCTAAGGAAATAACCATCGCTGCATTTTTAAAACATCAAACATTAACTTTATCTAAAAACCCAATGAATACCTTTATAATTTTCCATTTCAGGTTAGATAAAATACTTACCAGTATATCACCAAATTACTGATTTTAGGGCACCTTAAAGGGTTTCCTTGACCCCATTATACTATAAAATTACATAAATTTTTTAAAAAGCCTGGCCCATCTTAAGTGCTGTGAGGGCTCAGGGGACCAGAACAGAGGTACCAGCACTGGGAGTCAACCCCCTTTCTCCTCCATCCTGGAACCAGGAGTGCTGGGTCAACCAGCTGGGGTCCTGCCTGCTACTTCCCCTCCCCACTCCCTCACTCTTTAAAGAGAAAAATAAGACCCCAAATTCAACTCTTGATGTTTTCCTCACAAAAACTTTCATTTCAAGGTAAATTAAGGCCTCTGATTGCGTTTTTATGGTGCTAACAAAAATAATGATCACTTAGCCTCTACATTTGTTCTCTGAGAAGTGATACACCTGCCGTGTCATTCACACTCATATGATAGACCTTGAAACCCCAGACTGTATTAAGATCTGCCCCTCTGGCTCTTTCCACTGGCAAACAAATTCAGGTATGACAAATGGATCCCCCTTCAAAACACCATTGAAAATGCTCAGAGGAGCTGGGCAGGCGAGAATCACCTCCTAGCATTTTGGCTCTAAACCCCAAGCACAGGCACTGCGGCCACGCTCTCCAGCCCCTGCTTCACTGTCTAGCGGTGGGCCTGCCTGGTTGCCACTCCCCTGCTCCTGTACTACAAGATGCCTCCCTGGCTATCTCTCAGGTTTGCACACCTTTTGGTGTGAATATTCCCTTTGTCGAGCACACCAGACAATCACATGTTTAAAAGTCATTTCCCCTCTCAAATAGCAATGAATTTGCAAGCTGTCTGACACTGTGATCTGTGTTTGTCAACAAGGTGTACTTTAGCAGGACTAATTGGCCCAGCAGTTCCAGTACCAAGCTTTTTTTCCTCCCTGCATGCTGGTGTGTTTTAGAAACAGGAATTGGGTCGAAGACTAGACTGTGCACTGAAAGGATAAAAGGTCAGTCTCACTTTTAGGTATGCATAAGACTTTTCATGTGCTTTCAACAAAAATACCATCCCCCAGCTCCTCTCATAAAGCATATTCCCGAGAGAAATTCTTCCAAGGAAAGGCCGCCCTTTTGGAATTTCAACAGTAAACTCGAAGACAACCATTTTAGTTGTGGTAGCCCACCTGGCACAGGTGCCAGGGCCCCACTCATGCTTGTCAACTAAGTAAGTGGTAAGTGGCAGACTCTCTGGATCTCAGAAGGTTCCAGCATGAACAAGAAGTTCCTGGCTTTAGCTCCTCTCTCCTTTAACGGTCACCCAGCTGCCCGGCTACCCTGCACAGCCCACCCTACCTGAGAAAACCAGGCCAAGAAACTCATTCCTAATAACCATGCTCCTTCACTTCTCTCCAAGGCCATGGCAAGGACAAGAGCTCCGAACTGCTCCAGCCATACTCTCCTTAAACCACACTGAGCTCCTGAGACTCCATCTTCTCACTGACGCTGACCCTGGACAGCAAAAGCTGTAACCATGCCCAAAGCATGCAACTTCTGTGCCCGTATCAGAACCTGAGAAAAGGTCTGCATGTCCCAAGTCCGCACTCCTCATGAATACTTTCCAACAAGCAGCATGACTGTCCTCCTTGCCTGCCATAGGATGTCACAGAAACAGTACATTTTACAGATGGAAAAATACACCTCTTTCTCAAGAGTAGGAATCTCAGAGACAACAGCTATATCAAGCTTATCCCAGAAAAGTTATCTTCCAAGAAATTAGTTCTAGAAATAGAATCATCCTGGAATTCCCAAACTTGGATTAAATTTTCCAAAGCCTAGCAAAGCTCTCAGAATAAAAATAGGCACCAGGGTATATAGCCCTCTCCCCCCACACACATACAAAATTAAATTTAATTTAAAATTACTGCCAAAGATGTTCTTCTAGGACCTCAGCTGACTCAGGATGGAACCTGGGCCTGCACAGCACAGGGAGCAGTGGGTGAGAGTCTGGACTGTGCTTCTGAGTCACAGGGGCCTCTGACAAGGTAGAAGAGCAAATCGAAGCTTTTCTTCTCAATGCCGCGGCACCAAAAAGTAAGTAAGCTACAAGTACATCAGTCCACACAAAGGATGACGACTGCTGCTCCTGCCACATCAAGCCCTGAGTTTTCTGCATGAGACAGTGTCAGCATGCGGGTGGTGGTGTACCTCAGGGGATCACTGCCGCCACACTACCGTCCTGTGAGTCGCAACACGCCCTCCTATACCCTAAACCCAGCCAAGAAAGACCCAGAGGTGTTGTCCGTCTGTTACTTCACCTTCATATAAACTAGGCCTCAGGCACCTCGAACACAGCTATTGTTAGAACCCTCCCCACCCCTGTCTGCAAATCTGGTGGTGGTGGTAGGATTTTTTGCTTTTTTTTTTTTTTTTTTTTTTTTTTTTTGGTCTTTTTTCTAAAATTTTCCCTGGAAGAAAACTACTAAGAACCAGATTTAAGTGTTTCACATCTTCACAGAAACTCAACAATGCCATAAAAGAGGAACTGCGTCAAGAAATTAATCATTCTTGAATTCAAGTGACTAGAGGTACAATGATCACTTTGGGTTAGAATACACATCATTATAGAACATCAAGACTCTAGAATTTTAGGTTCCTTCTTTCTGGATATATGATAACCTTTGAAGCTATTCTTGGAATTAACTGTCCAACACGTCAGATGCTGCTAGTCCCCTCCAGCCAGGCATTCCTGCACTAGGCGACACCCAACCTGAAGACTCCCTCTACCACAGGTCACCAAAGCCAAGATGCTATTGTAAGACAAGTCATGTTCTCAATCACTGAAAAGGCAAAGTTGTCAGTTAAGTGTGAGGAATCAACCCAATACCATGTACCCAGAATCAGTAAAAGAAATGAAGGAAAAAAGCCTTAGCATATTATCAAATTCCTCTATTTGTTGCAACACAGATATGATTTCATCTTCTGTAATCAAAACCACTAAATGAAAAAAATCACATCTCTTACCTTCTGCGCTGCACTCAGCAACGCTATCAAGGAGGGAATCCGAGCACCCTTCAGCAGGACCGATCAGCTCAGAACCATCATGGATGACTCCGCCCTAAAGAGACGGTAACAACCATGTTTCACTGTCAAAAGGTGTGTTTTAAAAATCAGTAACAAGTGAACAAATTAACTCAACTGAACATGTAGTTAAGGACTGCAGAAACTCTTCAGTTATTAAACTAGGTTATAATTGCTTTTGAAAAATCTATATTGACTCTGCGATGATGATAAATGCACCACAGCAGGCAAGGCCTGAATAACAGATGCCCTGGGGGGAGATGGCGGTAACACAGGGAAACTCTATTTTCTGAACAATTTTTCTGTAAACCTAAACTTTCTAAGAATAGTCTATTATTTTAAAAATTCAATAGGAATATTACCATGTTTATAATATCTGGGTTTTTGTTTACTCTAAATCTACCTAAAGTATTCATTTTATTAAAAATGCAGGGGGAAACCCTCACCAGTTTAGAACAGGGTTCAGTATCCTTCATGCAACTGTATCAAATTTAAAACTTCAACATTATCACACAGCATCTCAGGTGTACCTTTGAGAACCATTTAGATACAATGTAGGTAAAACAAAATAAATTTCAGATGTTTTCATTAAAGAGACATACTGTTAATAAAGTTGATCTCACTGTGTGACCACCATTGTAACTCTAGCAGAGGCCATGATTACCAGGTGAGGGGTGTGGGTGGTTGGTGTGGATGGTTGTGGCTGGGTCTTTATGGACTAAATGCCTAAGGGCTCATAACTTAAAGACCTGTAACTAATCAAAACAAGGATCAGCCACCCCTTACCATCTTCCCTCCTATCTTCCCTCCTACCTTCCAAGGGCAGGTCTATGTGCCAAATTACTTCCAGGACTGCAAAGCCCAGAGAGAACCATAAGAACCCTGCGCCACTCCTACACCAGCACACATAACTCAACCACCACCTCCCTGACAGGCTTCCAGTTTATCTCTCAAGAGAAATGAGAGATGGTGCCTCTGAGGTTACCAATTTTTACGTGCCTGAAGTGAACTTAAACTTTCAAAATTATTATTCTCTTTGGAAGCAAGAATTTATATCTAGTCCATTAAAATATTCAAATCTCGGGGCCTCCCCGGTGGCGCAGCGGTTGAGCGCTGGGTTGCGAAGCTGCCCGCGGCCTCTGCGGCGCCGGTTCGATCCCCGGCTGCTCCCCGGCCACCAGAGGAGGGTCCCACATGGCGTGCAGACCTCTCCTGCCGCCCGCTGCTCCCCTCAGCAGTGTACTTCGGTCCTTCTGCCTGCTCTGCTCCCCGCTCTGGCTCTGGTGAATTCTCTCACCCTCCCGCGCTTCTGACTGTACCCAGTGCATGTATAAACAAAACAAACAAACAAACCAGCAAACAAATAAATAAAGCATGCCTCTATAAAAAAAAAAAAAAAATATTCAAATCTCAGCTTATATCTCAATTTTTCTACAAAAAAAAATTGGCTAATGCGCTGGTCCTTCGATTACTGCCATTTCACGCTGCGGAAATTTGTGGTAATTACTAAGACAACTCTGAGTTCTGATTTCCCCAAGGTCTGCCGGCACTGCTTATAACTTAGATCTGCTGCCAGTGACAGGTCTACCTTGGATTTAGTGTAGACAAAGTCATTCTTTAAACAACACCCATATCAACTCTTAAGAAAATGTGCAGGCATTCTTAAGACTTTTGATCAAGTTGCTTGCACTAAGTAACCCTGAAAGATAATACTGTTTTTTAATTAATTTTTTTACATCATTGTTCATTTTTTTACAATGTTTGATTTCTCCCCTCAGGTGTAATCCTCATAAAATTCCCACCACCACATTGTCCATGTCCATCACCATAGTCTCTTGTGCTCGTCCCTCCTGTTTTAACTCCTCTCCTTCCCCCTGCCCCATGTGGTATGTCTCAGGTCTATAGTTTGCCTGTTGTTTTTGTCTTTTTTTGTTGACATCTTGATCGGTTCCCCTGTATTCCTCCTATAAGTGAAACCATCAATATTTTTCTTTTTCCTCCTGACATTTCACTGAGTATGATTCCTTCTAGCTCCATCCCTGATGCTACAAATGGCATGTTTATCGTTTTTGACTGCTGAATAGTATTCCATTGTGTATATGTACTTTTTTTTAAATCTTTGGGCTCATTGTGTACATCTTCTTGATCCAAGAAGACACTTCAACGCCATTTAAAGAGACTAAATATTATGTTCTACTACCTCCAAATCAGTATCCTTCTCCCACCCAGTGTACTGTTCAAGCTATTTTCCGAGCTATTTTCCAAGATTAGCTAAACTGTTGAGATTCAACAGTTTAGATTTCCAAGATTCCTAAACTGTCCAATCGTTGCCTCCTCTTCTTTGGTCTCTCATTTTACAATGTGTAAAACAAGTATCTAACAGCAGGTATACTCAAAAATGCTCAACTCCCAAGGAAACAGAAGAGTTGACTCTGAGGCTTCCCCGGTGGGTCAGTGGGTTAAGTGTAGTGCTGTGAAGCTGTCCGCAGCCTCTGCCATGCCAGTTCGATTCCAGGCCGGCCAGGAAGATAACCACATGGCGTGGCAGACCTCCCCTGTCTCATCTGCTGCTCTCCTCAGCAGTGTCTTCAGTCCATCTGCTTGTTCTGTTCCCTGCTTTGTCTCTGGTGAATTCTCTCACCCTCCCGTGCCTCGGGCCTATACCCCAGTTCTTGTATAAATAAATAAATCTTTAAAAAAAAAAAAAGAGTTCACGCTGACCCAAATTTGAAGCCTACAATTTGACCTGTCTCCCCAGACTAGTTTTTCCAAACCTGTGGGCATGTGTTCACCTGCAAGACCACCTTTCATGATGTCTACAGAGCGACAGTCTCGCTTAATAATGTTGCCTGCCTTCCTCTACAGCCACAGACTCACCACCACATAGAAATGCCTGAACACACAAGACAGCCAGGCACTATGTGGGTCTAGGGTGGCCTTTCTCCACAGGTTTGTGTTAGGTGACAGGAGAAGCCAAATTCATGATCTCAGCCTTGTTGACAGAAAAATGAAAATTTAACCAACAAAAATCAGGACTTTTACTACCAACTTTTCCATTACTATTTCTATTACTCTAAGTCACAAGTCTATAATACCTTTCAAAAGATAACTCTTCAGTGAACTACAGTAGATCATAAAAATAAATTCCTTGTGAAGACTCACTAGCATTAGGAAAATTAAAACTCCCACCTCTCACATTCCTTGCTGGTCATACAATTTAAGAACTTTCTGGTCTACAAATATGTTGATTTTTGATTAAAGAGAAATAAATTATGGCATAATCACCTAATTTATTTTTAGAAGATTAAATAACAATAGGAATACTGTGGTAGTCAAAAACACTGGTATCAAGAAAAAGAATTTATATCCTGAAATTAGGCAGGAAAAGAGCAGTTTCTTCTGGGTTTGCTGCTTTGTTTTCAGCACAAAATAATTTTTATGTCAAAGAGCGTATTTGACATATTTGGCATATTTTCAGTGACATAGTCCAGCTTATAGCTTTGTGTCTATCTTCTTATAAAGAAAAATATAAATAGATTTGCTATATACAGTATTATATATATACCTTTGTATGCATATATAATATTACAGAGATTTACCTGGTTTGGCATTTATTAATACAGAATAGATATAATATGGTATATATAATATATTCTACAACTCTAAACTCCATAACATTATACTATTTTTAGCCTTGCTTTACAGAGAAGGACTCCAGGGTTCAGAGGCAGTAATAAAGCTTGCCAAAGTCCCACAGGTGTAAATGCTGGCACTGGGCTGGAGGTCAGCCATCTGGTTTTAAAACAACACTCTCGATTTTTGATCTTTCAGGCCACTGATATTTGACCATTAGTTTTTAAAAGATTGGTAAGTTCTTATTTAAACATTTAAGACAATCATAATGATAATTTAAGAGATGAATCTGGTAAATCACAGTAAAGAGGGGAAGGTAATCTGTTAGATTTAAAGTTCTGAGAGACATAGACACAAAGAGAAATTAACAATTCTGGGATTGTCTCTCTTTTCTGACCCTAACCCATTCAATTTGGCCACATATAAAAATTAAATTACTATACTGACTTCCATAGTTTAAACTATCATTGTCCTTTGGATGGTAGCTTAGTCTAGGATGAATGGATAACATTATTTTGATTATTACTATTATCATTACTAAAAGCATTATTTTCATATAATGACATTTTAAAAAATCACATTATTTTTATTGAGAAAATGTTGCTTTGAAAGACTGTATATGAGTTTGGGGTATAGGTAGACACCTCTTCAGATGTCTATTATACATGATAAATTACTTTTTGAATAACAGATATTTAATGACAGAGAATATTCACTCATTATATAGAAAATAAATGGAATTTTAATTACAACAATTGTTCTTTAAGGATTTCAAATAATCCCAATAATAATAATAATAATAATAATATCTACTAGGAACATCTACTATTCCTCATATAGGATTGATGTTGTACTTAAAATTTAACATAATTTATCACATTTTTTCTTACAACTCTCTTTTAATAGGAATATGTATCCCCCATTAATAGCCAATGGATAAAAACTCATAAAGAATAACTAACTGGGGCCTCCCTGGTGGCACAGACAGTTGAGCTGTGAAGCTATCTGCAGCCAGGGAGCAACCCACATGGTGCAGCAGACCTCTCCTGTCTCCCTGCTGCTCCCCTCAGCAGTGGATTTCAGTCAGTCTGCCTGTTCTGTTCCCACTCTGTCTCTGATGAATCCTCTCACCCCCCGCATCCTCTGGCCTGTAACCCAGTTCTTGTATGTATAAATGAATCTTAAAAAAAAACTGGTATCAAGGAATAATCTGTACAGGTTCAGTTCAAAATACATTAGATTATTATTAAAGATGATAAAGAACTCAGAATAAAGACCTTACATGTCAAGAAATTTCAAACACTACCCTCCAATGTGTTGGGGGTCATAGGTTTGTACAAGCTTATGTCTAAAGCTCCAGTGACTATTTTTGTCCCATCTTTACACAAAGTAATATAATTACAGCACATTTAATATGGACTTCTTGTGGCTTAGATCCCAAAGAGAAGTCTGCCTCTCAAAGACACCTCAAAAAGAGAACGTACTAGAGCTTCCTGATACTTAAGTTTTTAATGTATTTCAGCTATGACAGAGTGTCCTTTGCATCCATTTTTCAAAACCTGTGGATCAAAAACTTTATACAGCTCCACACTAAAAATAGAAGATATGCCACAGGCGTTGCTCTTCAGCTAATTCCTCCTAGTTCTCCTGAGTAATGAAATCCTAAAGTGAGCAACATATCCTGTTTAAAAAATAAGAATAGTTACATCTAGCTTTACTACAAATTAGGAAACAAAGGTATTTCACGTGACACGATGGAGTTCAGAAAGACAACCAAACCTTGAAAAACTCCTCAAGCTGTTTACTGCTGTAAAGAGCAGGAATATTGGCAGAGAACTGGAGCAGGTCCTCAGCACACTGTCTCCTCTCCTCAATGACACCTTCATCAAATCGCCCTGGAATCAAGAAACAACACTTAAGGGAAGAAGGCTCAGACTCCCAAATTTCTGTTCACTAGCTGCAAAGCAGCAGTGGCCTAAGGGTGCCCGTCTGCTGTTCTGTCTTCTGAAGGCTATCCACTCCCCACAATGGAAATCAGCAGGCCAGGAAAGAAAGTTTCTGCTTAAACAAGCAGCAGGGGTGTCAACTGAGAAATCAGTGGTGCTGACACCATTTCGGGCCTGTCATTGCAAGAAACTTCCCATTTAAGAATCTGGTGATTTAAAACTAAAGCTGAAAAGAGAATTATAAAAAGAACTCGAATGGTTTTCTATAGTCATTTAATGCTGTAATTACTCATATAATTTTCCTTTTTACTCTTTTTGATTTATAAAGGAGCTAAAAGGAGAAAATTATGAGAACATCTGTATATCGACGGGGTCAAAAACCTCAGCTTGAAGCAGAAAGCTTTTAAGCCCCACTCCGAGTGTGATGCTGTCAGGGAACATGACAGCTTGCGTGTGAGAAAAAGCACACACAGAGTGCCAGGGAGCTCTGCTTTACAAGGTGATCGAAAGGTGGTGTCACAGATTTTTTAAATGTTGCAATCTGAATGCTGAGAAGACATTTTCAAATAGGGCCACTCTGCCTCCAATCGGATAGCCTGTTGGCATCTGTCACATGCCATGGAGCACGCTGGCTGCCATGCAGCTTTAACAAAACACAAGGCCAGAAGAGGCACATCATCACATCAACAGTGTGAGTAGCTTTGCAAAATGTTAACAGAAAACAGGCGCAGAGAGATTCCTTATCCTATCAGCCAAGGCAAGACTCTGAAATGGAACTACTACATTCCCTCAGCTCACCATTCTACCACCGGCTACCTGTACAATCTCAGGCACAGGATCACCTCACAGGTAAATGGAGAAAGTGAACCTTGCAGGTAAGGCTCCTAGGCCCACGCCCGCCATGTGCAGCCATCCAGGGTGCCTCTGATCCACAGGCACCATCATGGGATCTGGCACACAGAACATGCTAGCAAACTCTGGTTGACAATATGTGAACACTGAAAACTTAGAAAAACTTTCTATAGAAAGTAACTGTCAGGGCCTCCTTGGTGGCACAAGAGGGTAAGCACAGCACTATGAAGCTATCCTCAGCCTCTGCAGCATGAGTTTAATCCCCGGCCAGCAAGGAAGCAACCCACATGGCACAGCAGACCTCTCCTGTCTCACCCACTGCTCCCCTCAGCAGTGTACTTCTGTCAATTTGCCTGTTCTGTTCCCCACTCTCTCTCTGGTGAATCCTCTCACCCCTTGGACCTCTGGCCTAGACCCCAGTTCTTGTGTGCATAAATAAATAAATCAAAGGAAGGAAAGGAAAGGAAGGAAGGGAAGGGAGGGAAGGAAGAGAGGGGAGGGAGAGGAGGGAATGGGGGAGGGAGAGGAGAGAGGGGGAAGGGAGGAGAGAAAGGAGGGAGGGAGGGAGGGAGGGAGGAACTGTCTTGGACCTCCTGGTGGCCTAGGGGTTAAGTTTCAGCGCTGTCACCCCTAGGCCTGAGTTCTATCCCCAGCCAGGGAGCTGACCCACATGGCATGACAGACCCCTCCTGTCTCCCTGCTGCTCCCCTCAGCAGTGGATTTCAATTTCAGCCTGTTCTGCTCCCCACTCTGTCTCTAGTGAACCCTCTCATCCCTGCACCTCGGCCTACACTCCAGTTCTACAGATAAATAAATCTTTAAAAAAAAAAAAAGAAAAGAAAAGAAACAAACTATCTTACTGTGGGACATTCTCTCCTAGAAGAGCTATCTCTCACTAACAGGAAATCTTGATAGAAGGCCCACATACCAAATGCTAGTCTCAATGGATGGGTTTCAGAGACAACATTCCTACAAAATTCCATGCAGAGGTACACAGATACATTTTTCTAGGAGAAGGGTCTGGGACTTATAAGCATCCTCAAGAGTCCATGGCCTGGGGCAGCAAGCGAGTAGAGGCCAGTTAGAGGATCCTCCAGTAAACTGCTCTATTCACCATGGAACAGGCCACCCCAATACCTACCCTCACTATCTTCCTTAGTAAAATCAGTCCCATGGGGTAGGGGTGGGGAAGGTTATAATCTCCAGCTGGCCTTGCAGTTACATATAGATGCAGACTAAGTTCTGCCTAATAACTTAATAAAAGTCATACTGCAGCTTCCCAGACCCTTGTGAGACAGCTGATATAAGCCTGTCCCTTTCAGAAGGACTGGAGGCCCCAGGGAGGCGGGAGGCTGGGAACCTGGATTTCAGAGCACTGCAAAGCGGCACCACCTGCGCTGCCTCCAGAGCTGAAGTTGTGACAAAGATCAGCTTCAAACGGTTTTAAGTTTTGTCACAAGTAACCAAGCCTACTTTAATCCATTATGCTAAATCTATTTTTCTATCATCTCCCAGTCATATGCAATAACTGAATTAAACTCAGGTCTCATAATTTAAAAAAAAAAAAATCACATCTAAAATGACTGCTGGCCGAGCAAAAATATTCTCTGGAAACAAGCTTCCAAAAGCCCCAACTATACAGCAAATTCCCTGGCCTGAACACAACAGAAGTTATTCAATCTAGGGAAAATGCGCTGGAGAAAAACAGGTTTAACTGACAGCTAAATGTCCATTATTCCTCTTAACTAAATTAGAAATTAAGTATGCAGTGGTGCTTTTGATTATTGTCCAATATATGAATTCTTTAAACAAAAGAGCAAATACCAGTGCTCGTGAATAGTAGTAATTTTGTGAACACCTATCATCTTAAAACAGAAAGTGCACACGGGGCCTCCCCGGCGCAGCGGTTGAGCGCTGGGTTGCAAAGCTGCCCGCGGCGGGAGGGAGGGAGGGAGGGAGGGAGGGAGGGAGGGAGGGGGGAGGGGGGGAGGGGGGGGGGGGAGGGAGGGAGGGGGGGGAGGGAGGGAGGGGGGGGGAGGGGGGGGGGAGGGAGGGAGAGGGAGGGGGAGGGAGGGAGGGGAGGAAGGAGGGAGGAAGGAAGGAAGGAAGGAAGGAAGGAAGGAAGGAAGGAAGGAAGGAAGGAAGGAAGGAAGGAAGGAAGGAAGGAAGGAAGGAAGGAAGGAAGGAAGGAAGGAAGGAAGGAAGGAAGGGAAGGAAGGAAGGAAGGAAGGAAGGAAGGAAGGAAGGAAGGAAGGAAGGAAGGAAGGAAGAAAACATGCCTCTATATAAAAAAAAAAAAATTATAAAAAAACAGAAAGTGCACACACTTCTGACAGCACAAGGTGACCTGGCACCATCTCTCGACGCATTAACTAGAGAAATCTCATGGAAGACATGTAGACACTGGACGAGCCCCTTAAATCTCATTTACCAGCTGAAACAAATACACTAAACCTTGGGAGTTTCAATTCTAGTCATCAGTGACTGATCCCACCTCTCATAAAGCTAGACCAAAATCCCAACTCCCCATTGAGTGAGACTAAAATTCACAAGCAATAAGCATATCTTATTCTAAACAAAATTAATTTGTCAAAAGTACACCTTCCATAAGTACGCATTTCCATTCACTAACCTTGGGCAAGCAGAGATGCGTGGAAACTTTCCAGAAAGGTGCACGCCCCGACATAAAACTTCCGCATTAAGAAGTTCAGTTCTAATGAGTCCTGCCATCAGAACAGATATCAAAGAACATGCCAATTTTTGTTCCTCAGATAGTTCAGAGTAACTAACACCCAGCAAACCCCAGGCTGGCATCCACAGAGATGAACACAGTGCAATAATAACTACAGACCCTAATACATATAATAGTCACAGAATTTTGAAATTAATTTAAAAGTAGCAAGATTCGACAGTAACCCTGAGGACAGACAACACCTGGTGGCTATATGTACATTACATGTAAGCCACCCAAGCCCCAACTCCAACAATTAAAAGTTGGGCGGGGGGATTGGTAGAGGAGAGGGAGGTATAGTTCAAACATTCTTTTTTTTAACATTTTAAGCAGACAGGTTTATTAGGAGGAAGAAAAGGCAAGGCACCTGGTAGTCACAGGCAGGCAGGAAGCTGCTGAAATTCAAGCATTCTAGCTAAGCTGGCAAGTCCCTGGAAACAGTCTGATTAACAGCTGCCTTTGCATTTTCCATTGTCCAGACCAACTCCTAGACCGTCATCTTCATGACGGTTGAAAAATGCAGATGTGTCAATGATCACGCACTGATTATATGGACCTAAAGGTTACACGTGACCGGTGAAAAACCAATAAGAAAAGCTTAATGACTCTTAATTCTATCAAAGATTCATCCAAGTGAAAAGGGGGCAGCCCGACCTCTCAGGTGCAGATTCCTTCCAGTCAACAGCACCAGCAGAGCACCCAGTGAGCCAGTGGGGTCACTCTGCAGCTAGGAAAGCTGGGGTCCTGAGAAGCCAGGGTTCACTACAAGGGTGTGAGAAGGGACAGCCTGAGGAGCCGGTCTGCATGGGGCGCTGTGGAGAAACTTCAGAGAAGTGGGGTGTGCACCCTGGTCCAGATGCTGTCCAAGTGGGGAAAGATGATGATCTATCACCCCCATCCAACTCTGACTCTCATTCTGATGAATCTAACTGAGGCAACGAGCACAAAGAGAGTCTGAGGCTGTGGCTGACTGAGGCTGGTCTCTGGGGAGCCAGGAGGAGACACACTGGCTCATTTCTGGGACCGGCACTCGCTCAGGCTTTCTCTGTGTTCAGACTTAACCACAAAGTGCTCTTGTTATTGTCCCAGTCCGAGGACAGAGTGGCCTTTTCAACAGAACAAGACCCAGCCACAAAGACCCAGCCAACGCGAAAGGACACAAGGGCAGCGGAGAGGTGCCCGCCAGATCGCCCTTGGCTGTCAGGAGCTGCTTTTCTCTGTTTCACAGGAAATCGGCACATCGAGAGACATAAAGCAAACAAAACAATGACTCAAATCATGAGAAAACAGGCCTACATAGTAAAAGCCACTGAAACCTGCAGTGTGGTCTTTAGAGATATCGCTGTCGTGAAAGACCCCAAACAGCACTGGGAGATTTTATAGAAACAAGCCGAAGGCCCAACCCCAAGTCTCAGACAACCTAAACATCTCCCCTTCAGAGCTGCAAGACTCAGTGAGTCACTGGGTCGACAAAGACCCCGTGAAGGAGACGCAGTGTGCTGACAGGAAGGTGGGACGCAGGGAGATGTCAGTGTCTGGCTTACTCTCAAATGGTTCAGGGAGAAAACCTGGGAAAACATTAACAATTGGTGAACTTGTGCAAAAGGTGTGTCAGGATCCACTATGCTGTGCTTGGGGTATTCTTCTGTAAATTTAAAAATTTTGCAAAATCTTAAAAACTGGAGAGAAATGAGTTAAGTGCTGTAGGTGAGATGTCGAACTAGAAGGGAAAACAACTAACTCAGCAGAGAACGTCTTAGAAAAGGAGACATGAGAAGTCTGAGAGGCCAGGGGACCTGTAGCAGAGAGTGGGGAGCCCATGTGGGGGCGCTGACGAGTGCTGCGGGCCTGGCCACTGCGCCCTGGAAGAGCAAGTGCCTGCTGACAGCACGGACATGTCAACCCTTTCGCACCTCAAGTTTCCACATGAAAATATAAGCTCACCTGAAAAGACAGATGATGAGCCAATTCCCTCCACACGATACAGCTGTGCCTGCAGGGGTCACTGCCATTATCAAGTATTACAAATGGACTGTACCATTTATTGAAAGAGATAAATTACTTATTTATTAAGATTAATAAGAACCTTTCACACTGTGATATGCAAGGATGTGGAAAAAACTGAAGATCATTCATTAGCAATAGACAATAGGTAAGCACCTCAACCAATTTAGAAAGCATTCCCTTCTACCTAGAGACAAGTTCAATGTTTAAGAGGCCAGGTGGGGTACGTCCACCATCAAGGTAACGTGTGAAATCCACAGTCCAGAACGTATAAGGCAGAAAATAAAAATACCCTCCCCTTTGCCCTCAGAGGTCACAAGCATTATACAAAAATGTGCGTGGGTCTACTGAACACATGTGCCATCTTCCCAAACACCACGGTGCAACGCTTATTTTCTATGTCTTAGTGGATCGTGAAGAGGCAGCCTACAGAATGGGAAAAAATACTTGCACATGACACATCTGACAAGGGGCTAATTTCCAAGATATGTACAGTCCAACAAGAACAACAAAAAACAGACAACCCAATTTAAAAAGATGGGCAAGAGATCCACACAGACACTTGTTTAAAGACACTCAGACGGCCTGCAGACATAAGGAAAACTGTTCAACATCAGTGATAAGGGAAATGCAAATCAAAACCACAATCAGATAGCACCTCACTCCTGTGAGAATGGCCCACATTAAAAAGAATGGAAATAACATGTTGGGAGGTTGTGGTGAAAAAGGAACGCTCATCCTTTGTAGGCGGAAATGTAAGTTGGTACAACCTCGATGGAAAATGGCATGGAATTTTCCTCTATTAGGTATTTTTCCTAAATGTGAATACTAATACAAAAAGCTGGAAATGCACCGATGTTCATAGCAGCACAGTCCACAGCTACCAAGCTGAGGAAGCAACCTAAGTGCCTTTCAACAGACAAATGGAGAAAGAAATACTCAATGGAATACTAACACAGCTGTTTAAAAAAAGATGAAATAGGGGGCCTCCAAGGTGGCGCAGCGGTTGAGCGCTGGGCTGCAAAGCTGCCCGCAGTCTCTGCAGCGCCAGTTCAATCCCCCGCCACCGGCAAGGGACCCACATGGCGTGCAGACCTCTCCTGCCGTGCCCGCTGCTCCCCTCAGCAGTGTATTTTGTCAGTCTGCCTGTTCTGTTCCCTGCTCTGGTTCTGGTGAATTCTCTCACCCTCCCATGCTTCTGACTGTACCCAGTGCTTATATAAATAAATAAATCTTTTAAAAAAAAAAAAAAAAGATGAAACAGGGCCTCCCTGGTGGCACAATGGGCTAAGCACCGCACTATGAAGCAATCCACAGCCTCTGCAGCACGAGTTTGATCCCCGGCCAGCCAGGGAGCAATCCACATGGCTCAGCAGACCTCTCCTGTCTTGCCTGCTGCTCCCCTCAGCAGTGTAGTTCAGGCAGTCTGCCTGTTCTGTTGTCTGCTCTGTCTCTGGTGAATCCTCTCACCCTCCCACACATCTGGCCTGTACCCCGGTTCTTGTATAAATAAATAAATCTTAAAAAAAAAATTCAAAAAAAAAATAAAGATGAAATAGTGTCTTTTGGGACAACACAGATGGACTTCCAGGTGACTGTGTTAAGTGAAAGATATTGAACTGGTATTACTCACCTGTGGAGTATAAACAACAACAAAAAAAAATATGCAGGCCTAAATCTTGAACTAAGTGAATGAATATAATGGTTACCAGGACCGGGGCGGGTGGGGGACCGGGGGTGGTGGTGAAGGATGGCAGAGGCAGATGGGGAACTAGCACAGATGGTTTGGGGAGGTGAGTGGAACATGTGCACATATGGAGGAGCAGAAATGCAACCCCAAAACTGAACTACCAAAAGAATGACATCTTTCATTCCAGCGTATCTCAAAATAGCTGCAGAACTCTCATCATTGGTTAAGTTATGGCACTTCCATACAATCACATCTTGAGTAACTTCAGTTCATTTTCAGTCTTCTATTGAAAATACTGCGAGAATACCTACGTGTACACATGTGTGCACGTGTGTGTGTGCTCTCAACACGTGATCCACAGAGAGCTGGGGGCCCCCCAAGGGCCTGTCAAGGGATCAGCCAGGCCAAAACCATTTTCCTAATACCAACCAAGACAGCAGCTGCATCTCGCCGCATGGACACTGGCACCGATGATCTGAGAGCAATGCCAGTTAACTACCAGCCCCTCAGCATAAACAAAGACAATAACACAAGATAAACATATTAGGGATTGTGTGCCCTACTGCCACTCATTAAACAATCGGAAATGCCAGTTTCACGTCAGCATGTCCTCAATGAGTAGATTTCATGAGTCACCTTCATGAAATCTCAATCCTTGAGACCATTTCTTTTTAAAAGTCTGGGTGAAAAACTATCCAGGCTTGGGTATCTGGCACATGTTCTTGAAAATAAACTTAGTGAGCCTGACATAACCCAAAACAGGGACCATCACGCCATGTTCATGCCTGAGTGTTGTTCAGCTTCTGCTGCTGCCATCATCATTTTGAGTGGGATTTTCCCATGTTTCCACCCTCTTCTACAAGCAATACAGAATTCTATCAAATACTTATTTGCCTGGTCTCAGAAACACCAAGCTAATGGTTTACTCAAGCAATGCTATCCCAAAAGCATCATCCCCCCCAAAAAAGTCCACAACATTCATTTTATGAGGAAGATCAGAAACATACAAACTAGACTTAAAAATCCAAAACTTTCAGACTTACAGTAATTTATCATCTTTTCTTAGGTTCCTAAAAGGGTTTTTGTTTGAATGGCTGGGGCTAGCGCCGCGTTATTTTATGGATGGGAAGAGTAAACATATCCTATGTCAAACTATACCAAACCGTAAAACAACTTCATGCTTGCTGAGTGGTATGAATTATCTTAATAAAGGGACTTCTGGCTTCATGACTCAGCATATAACATACAACTAGCAAATCATTACTTTTTAAAATCAGAAATTCAAAATCATCACTTACCAAATACTTTTCCTTTAGCAAATGGAGGAAACAATTCCGAATGCCGAAATAAGTTCTTGTGAATTTGCCACAATTCTTTGTGTAGTTTCTTAAAGTCACTGTACCTCTTCCACACGATTATCTAACAAGAAAAGAAAATTAAATAGGCATCTCCTAGCCAAACTATTCAGGTTCAGTCAAAAAGCAAGTAATCTTTCCACTAAACTGATCGAGACTGTCATGCAAAGGCAACAAATGCAGGCTCTAGCCCTTGTGATTAACAGGCTGAAATTAGTATTTGCTTTAAAAATAGAAAACAGCGATTTTTACTCCAACTGTTCTGTTTTGGATTATACATTTCATTTTGAACATGTAATGTTTCCTTCCTATTAAAGAAATACTCAACCTCATACAACGGGGTCTACACTACGTAAATGTCACTTAAGTCAATTACTATTGGCCTGGGAATAAGCTAAACGTCGAAATGTGTATTCTGTATCCAAGTGGTTAACCCAGACTGCTTTAAACACAAAGCGCATAATCCAACACTTGCCTAACGGGGTCCACAGTAACACAGAAGCAGTGGCTGCACAGCAAGCAGGTAATGGGAACGTTTATATTTGGTGAATTTTATTTCATAAATCTCAATTTAAAGTAGTCATTAAGATTTCTGAAGGCAAGGTGACTCCTTTGTTATATAATTGTGTACATATTACATAATGATATAATCCTAGATTATACAACGTGAAAATTTGCCTTCCCTAGTTTGAATTGTTGGACCGCATTCAGATTAAATTAGGAGCAAAAACACAATATTGGAAAGGACTTCACACATGAACTTGACCTCACTGATGCAGCCTGTTAGGCTCCACAGAGATACAATAAAAGAGTTTTAAATTCCCCCATGGGGGCTACAGAGGCCTTTGCTTCTGAAGAACCAGTACTCTCACCTTTAGTGGACTCAACAGTGTTACTCCAGTAAGCGCATCTTAGGTCAGGCAGGCCACAAGTGATTAAAGGGATTCTTGTCAAAAATTTTTACTCCCTGCATATGAAAATGCTCAACTCAATTTTGTCTTCAAGTTAGCAGGCCTGTTAGACTTATCTATGACTCTTAACAAAATGCTGCTTCTGGATGCTTCCTTTCTGTGTTTACACAACAAAGAGAGTCATGGAGCAAGTATTTCCATGGCCCTACATGGTACTAGAAACTGCGCTGGCACAGAGGATGAAAAAACGAAAAGCCCACCCCTCTCTTCACTGTGTCTCAGTCTAGGCAGGAAGATGAAGCCTGCAGGGTGGGTGCTCAGAGGGCGTCCCGGGGGACAGGGCGCCAGCGGGGCCACCTAGGAGGGCTCCCCAGAAGACATCAACTTAGTTGAGCACACTGAAGGGAATGGGTAATGCGACCAACAAAACGAAGTCACCCAAAAGAGAAGGGGTTAGGATGGAGCATTTAAAAGAAGAGCCAGATGCCAAATATAGCGACTGAAATTTTAGGTTTTGCCCTGGAGAAACTGGCACAAGGCAGAAGTTGAGAGACAGGTGCTTCTGAGGTGTTGGAATGGAGAGACCCAACAGGACAGACGTACTCAGGAATAACAAGCAAGATGCACTGTCAGGAGTCAGCAGCAGAGTGGGGTGATGGCTCATGAGAGGTTTCTCGGCATCTATTATGAGATGGGGTCCGACAGCAGAATGATGGGGAGCCCTAACCTGGGAGGCCAGCAGAAGGAAGAAACCCAGTGCTAAGAAAGAAGCTTGACTGTCCATGTGACCGGCCATTTCGAGAGAGGGAGGGGAGGTTTTATTTTAAGTGGAAGTGAGGGAGACAAATGCCAATCCCAGTAAAAGACACAGCAAGAGGCACAGAGCATCACCCCAGGCGGTGCACAGCACAGGTCTCCAGGGAGTGAGACCACGAGTGCAAATAAATTATTTTGTTGTTTCTTATAGTTTCTAATGTTGATACATGAACATAATTCTGTCATGAGAAAAAAACTTATTTTTATATATTTTAAAATATCAAATGACGGTAGAACCACAGTGCCCAGTGTTCAGGGAAAGTGGGTGATGGGCCCAGGGACTGGTATCTTACAGATGCCGTCACTATGTCATTAGAGACTGGGAGAAAACAGCGACAGCCGCAGCTGAGATAATCCTCTAGTTGGGTCATTTTTAAATAAGGAGAGTACCCGAGGGCAGAAGAGAGCAATGTAAGTGGAGTCACAGCATACAGACCCCAGCTGGTATCCAGGCCAAAGTGAAGACTGCCAACATGAGAATCTGTTTCTCCACCCGTGCCTGATTCCGTCATTCTCAACACTAGGACTATTGGACGGAGACAGCGAAAAGCAAATACGCACCCCCAAGAAATGCAGGTGTCGTCATTCCCAAGCTGCTTTCCTTCTCACCCTTTTTAAGCTTTGATGTGTCTAGAAATCTTCAAAATGGAACAGTGAACAAAAGCACAAGGGCTGGTGTCTACACTGGCACTACATGAAGTCCCACAGACACGCCCAAAATCCTCTAATAAACGATCATTTCCTATAGGAAAACACAATTATTTAACAACCACTCCTCTGCTGAACCAACCCTGCAAAATTACTTACCAAAGTCCCTTGAATAAAACTCCTCAGTTGAATAGTAAACTCAATGACAGTCACCATAATTTTAAAAGCTTTATTTTCATTACAATATTCCCTTAAAAATTTTTTATACAAAATTTTTTTTATACTTTCACTTAACAAAAACCTTTAGTGCTATTGTATTTTACAAAACCACTCAGTTCAGTTCATTTTGCTCTTTATAATTCTCATCCAGTATTAAACTTGCTGGATCACCCTTCCTTGCAACCAATGTCACTTCTGTACTATTTATATTTCTAGGGGTCTGCTCCCCACTCCAACCTCCTTGTCAAGAGTCTTTTCTTTCCTGGGATGCATTCCTGAATGTCCTCAGTTTTTCTAAAACTATTTTATTTAGGGCCTCCCTAGTGGCACAAGGGATTAAGACACAACCTATGAAGCTGTCCGTCACTGCTGCAGCACACGTTCCATGCCCGACCAGGGAGGTGACCACACCGTGCAGCAGACCTCTCCTGTCTCCCCACTGCTCCCCTCAGCAGTGGATTTCAGTGGATCCACCTGTTCTGTTCCCCACTCTGTCTCTGGTGAATCCTCTCACCCCCCACACCTCTGGCCTATATCCTTGTATGCATAAATAAATAAATCTTAAAAAAAAGAGAGAGAAAGAAATATCAGTGGCACAGAACACTGCAAAGCTCCTCCCAGCTACGGGGACAGCTAGAGCTAGCCTATATTTGGTTACACTAGCAGCACTGCTTACTGTACTCACTCGCCCTGGAAGCCTAAGTTCCTAAGTAATAAAAGAATTAGAGAACATGAAAGGGAAGGAAATAAGAACAAATTTTAGGTGATGAATTTCTCTCCTACACAGAATCCCAATGTTTAAATGAAGAACATGGAAACTAAAAGTAAAGTGCTTTGTAAGTTCAAGGTTATTCTATATTTTCAGAAGCCAGCTAGAGAGAAAGCATTTTTTTTTTTTTTTTTTTTTTTAGTTTTTTACTATTTCTACCAGAGGACCATGCAATCATCTACCTAAAAGACACTTACAAGAGTTTGATGATGGTTCACCAACAGTTGTTATTATAAAAGAGTTTTCCCCCAAAGAGGATTAAGGAAATGGCAGAGAGCGTGTTCCTGGACAGGCTGGCTTGGGATCTGCCTGGAAGAGGGATATAAAGCTACGGCAAGCAGCACAACCGCCGCCGCCATGTTGCGCAGACGCCGCCGCTCTTGTTAACAGTAGTAAAGTTTCAAACACAGGACAGCCTGGGATCGACTATCAATTCAACATCATTAGTAGACTTGTAAAGAGTTGTTCGTTCTAATCAATTGACAAATAATTAATCAACAGTGCAAGTTACCGTCACTGTCATCTATGTGAAAATACAAACACACATGCCCTTTTCTGCCAAAATAACAACTTTATTATATTCTCTTCCTGACTATGGGGGGAGGGGGGAGTTGGGTAGAAGCGAGTATCTTAAAATCCCCAAAGAAAACAGCATGAAATATTTGTTTTGAAAAATGTATCTTTTATTGAATTCTTCTTACAGAAATATCAGATCAGATATAGCAAGAAATGGTAATATATAAAAATGAAAATAGTGATCTCGCACACTCACCAACCAGTACCAAACATCAACTTAAATGAATCAAGCCAGGATTCCCCATAAGGAGCAGTGGGACTTATTTGTGTTAAACACTTTAATTAAGAAAAAGAAAAATCGGGCCTCCCCGGTGGTGCACCGGTTGAGCGCTGGGCTGTGAAGCTGCCCGCTGCCTCTGCAGCGCCAGTTCAATACCCAGCCGCCAGCGAGGGTCCCATGGCATGCAGACCTATCCTGCCACGCCCGTGGCTCCCCTCAGCAGTGTATTCATCAGTCTGCCTGTTCTGCTCCCCGCTCTGGTGAATTCTCTCACCCTCCCGCGCTTCTGACTGTACCCAGTGCTTGTATAAATAAATAATCTTTAAAAAAAAAAGAAAGAAAAAGAAAAATCCCCAACAGATGGCCTGATCCAGTGACAAAGAGCAGGTACCAAGATGAAAGCAAATCAAAACAATGTTAAAAGACGTTCCTCAGCAGGCCTCCCCGGTTGTGCAGCGGGTTGAGAGCACTGCTGTGAAGCTGTGGGCAGCCTCTGCAGCACCGGTTCGATTCCCGGTCGGCCAACGAGATATCCACATGGCACACTGCTCCCCTCAGCAGTACTTTTGGTCCGTCTGCCTGTTCTGCTCCCCACTCTGTCTCTGGTGAATCCTCTCACCCTCCCGCACCTCTGGCCTGTACCCCAGCTCTTGTATAAATAAATCTTTAAAAAAAAAAAAAAATGATGAAGGAAACCCAATCTTGGTCTCATCAACAATTTAAACTTACTCCTAGATAAGCAATCTCTTTAACAAACCTTCAGTGAAGCTAAAAAGAACCAACACAAAATTTCCATTTACGAGTGAAAATCAGTAAGAGGTAAATAATGGAAAGTCAAAAATTAAAACAGTAATATCAATAACTTATGTGGGCAGCTCTCCTGCCTGCATGTTGTCTCTGCAAGCATCTCTTTCTTAATCCTACCCCTTTCAAAAAAAAAAAAAGTTCCTCAGTAAAGATTCTGAAAGGTGTATGGCTACGGCAAGCAAGCACAAAGTAATTATAAACAGAATGATACAGTTTTAAAGCAAAAATATCACAAGTTGAATTGCTGTTGTTGTCTTTTTTTTTTTTTTTGGGGGGGGGGAAGTCTGCAAAAAACCAGCATGAAATCTAAGAAAGTAACATCTACACCCAAAGCAGTCTTCCAAAATGTCAACTTAATAGAAAAATGTAAGTAGGTAAAAACCTATAATTTACTATCTTTAAAATAACACTAGTTAGCAGATACTTTTCATTTTTTTATTAAGCATCATGATTTTGAAATAGGTAGGTCCGGGGCTCTTAACTCCCACTGAAATCTTAAGAATGCTAGTTATCAGAAGAATTACCACATTATTAAACACTATAATTATATAACTTAACACCTACTAAAATTTAACACGTACTTCACAGACCTTAAATAGGATACTTCATATACTATTCTGGGAGCTACAATCGCCAAACATACATAGACTGACAGACAAATAATTCAACTTCATCAGTAATCTGATTAAGTTTTTGTCAGACACATAAAATAAAATCTTCATAGGGACAAACGGGTTACCTCCTGGACATCTTCTGGATTTCTTCGTGAAACCACCTAAAACAAAACATACACAAATACCTAATCATTATCAAAATTTAAGACTCCACTCTTGTATAATTATACTCAATGGCATTTGTATGGGAAAAGTCATTCATTTAAAGAAAAATATCTTCTTTTATCACTTACAGAGGTCAGCTCTATGATGTCACTATCTGAAACACACCCTAAGAAAATTAAGCAGAAAGGCAGTAAAAGCAGGTCTACCTGCTCGAGGGCATTACGCATTCTTGACTTAACTCCAACGCTGGCCTCCCCCCCTTCCGAGCCCACAAATAAATCAGAAGCCTAAAAAGCAGGCGTATCTGGGCTAGCTGTCAGCAGGCACTTGGTACTTACTGTGCACCTCCAACTAGCTAAATAAAAATTTCAATGAAAAAAAGCCACAATGCGCAGGCACAGCAGCATCTGTGAGGGGAACGCAGACCAGAGCAGGGAAGGCAGCAAAACAACCCCAGAAACGCAATAGCACTCGGGGACCCACCACCCAGCCACCAGCATCACCAAAAGAAAGGGGGCGAGGTGAGATTTTTCCAGCTGCAAAAGCCAGAAAGCCACACACTTAACAAAGATTTCTCACAGCACATCCAAAAGGGTAGACAGGAGCGCCCGCCATGCCGGGCCCTACAAAGCAGCTCCCAGCTAGACCCGAGCGCCAGGACCAAAGGGAAGGCAAGAGGCCACAATGTCCACTTTACAAAAACAAAGACACTCAAGCTCTTCAAACAGCCAATTCTGGGGGAGAGGAGGAGGGAGCCCAAGCTGTGACAAGGACCACGGGTGAAGACTGGCTTACCCTGCCTCCCGAGGGCCAGAGACCACGTGAAGTCAGGCCAGCCCAGCGCCGGCCCCCACTTCCGGGCTTGACCTCTATAAAGTGGGGCTCACCCACCCTGCCCAGCCTGGCTGCTGTGGGCCTCACAGCACGGCAAGAGCACCGTAACCCAAGTGTGCCCCTGTCCCTTACCAGGCCATCCGCCTGTTGAAAGGCTCCACTGAAAATTCCAGACAGCAAAGATTTCCAATTTCTTTCCACTCTACTCTCCAACTCCCAGGACATGTGAACAGTGAAACCTCTTAGCAGTTTTCACCAATTTGGAACAGGGCTGGCCCATGGAACATTCTGTGATGGAAAGACGGTCCCTGGCTCCCCGCCCAGGCATGTGGCTACTGAGCACTGAGAGAGGCTAATGCAACTACAGAACTGAACCTTTCACTTGATTTAAGTTTCAATTTTAAAAAAGCCACAGAATTAGAGGAAGAGGCCAGAGCAACAGTACATTAGCCAAACACATCATTTCAGCTACTACTTTCAAGTCCAGGTGCACACACACACGCACTCACTAGCTTGCTCTTGCGCACACGCGCGCTCTCTCTCTCTCTCTCTCTCTCTTCTCTCTCTCTCTCTCTCTCTCTCTCTCTCTCACACACACACACACACACACACACACCCCTTTCCAAAAGCAGGGCTTGACATAATGATTTAATTTTGCCTCCTATAAAAATATTTTTTGCAAAGGTGCTAATGACAAAGTCAACCCCTTCACCCCTTCAGAATCCACCAGAAATAGTCACCAGACGCCCCTCGCCAGGGGGGCGGTTCAGGTCCAATCAGTGCTCTCGCAGGAAGGGGCTGGTTACCCTTTAACAGCAGAAAACTCTCAAAGCCTTTAACAGTGATCAAGCCTCATAAATCTCCAAAGGGAAGACATACATTACTTACCAAGGCCATCTGTCCACTCAAGTTTTTCATTTTGTCACATGCTGTTTATTATTATTTAACGTCACTAGCGCAACAGCTGCTGAGAGTAGGAGCACAGCTGGAAGCGCCCTGGAGTTCCTGCCCCTGTTCCTGGTCACAGCAAACTCTGATTTAGGAAAACAAGGAAGAGCTGATAGTGAAAGAAGCCGCTCAGAACAGAAACCCTTTCCTCCATCCAGTCACCACAGCAATCCTGCCACCAGAGGGGATAACCAAGGCCCGGGAGCTCACAGCCCACCAGGCCGAGCAGGACCTGACCTCACCAACTCCATGAGCCAAACAAGAGTGTTCTGCAGGAAAAGCTAACCAGGCCTCCTAGAAATGCAAGCTGCAAGTACATAATACGTCTGTCTAATGCCTATCAGGTAAACCCATTTTGTCTTTGACGAGAAATAAGAGTTGTGGGGTAAATGAAAATTATCAGGCTCTTCTGCCCTCCGGCAATTAGCACTGATGATGGACCCCTGCGGTCCTACACGCATGCCTGATAGCGGCACCTGGAGCAGGGTATGGGTGTGCATAGGTGGGCACACCTGGGCTGAGAGACTGGGCTTATAGGTGGCATCACAGGGAAGCAGCACAGAAGAGCAACAGAATGAGAGAGAAAGAAAATGAGAATACCAGGGAGCACAGAAAGAGTGAAAAGTCACCGGGAGCCCTGCCAGCCTCCCGGGCCCCTGCCTTTTAAAAAGCTCAGTAAAAGCCCAAAAAAGCCACTGAGGGTTCCAGGACTCTCCTTTACAACCCCCCCCCCCCCGCCCGTCTGCCCGGATTACAGAGATCCTGCCCTGTGCCTTCCTGCCTGTAAAGGCCAGACTGGGCACAGTGCAGGTTTTCTGATCCCATGCAGACCGGGTAAAGGAGGAGTCAGAGTCCTCAGTGGGTTTTTTGCAGGTCTTTTATTGGGGTTCACCAGGCATATGGCAGGCATCGGTGCTGGGGGGCCAGCCTCCCAGCCCCCAGCAAATCCTCGCTCTATCTGGGCTCTCTGGTGATCTCGGCTTCTCTTCGGCTTCCGCTGCTGCTTTCTCAGCTTCTCTTTCGGCTGCTGCTGCTTCTACTGCTGCTGCTGCTGGCGTCCCCGTGATGCCGCCCTTAAAAGCAGTCTTAGCTCAGCTGAATCCCACCTACCTATGCCCACACCCTATTCCAGGTGCCCGCCATCAGGCATGCATTCAGGACAAGGATCCATCATCTATCCTGATGGCGGAAGGGCAGAAAAGCCTGATATTTTCTTTACCCTACACTGCCCTATATGAGTCAACCAAAAAACAGACCCGAAGAAGCACTCTGGCAGAACAGAGAGAACTGAGAAGAGTATGAACACGACACAGGCGCTAGCCATGACTGTTTTTTTTGCCAGTTTGCTCATAAACCAAAGAAAAGCAACCTTAACATGAGCCCTCTTGACTATCTTTAAAACAGGGACCAGATTCTGTTGCCGAGCTGAAGCCCGAAATCATCCATGGATCACGCTAATCCTCTTTTATCTATTTCAAATTACCAAGTTTCCCTAAAAGTCAAGTCAGAAGCACTTTTATCTAATTACCATAATGACTTGATATCACCCTATTAACTCAGGTAAGAGCTGTCTCCTTAAGAAATAGCTACTAGAAAACAAAACTACAAAGATTAACCAACTCTCTTTCCTACCAAAAGAATCACACAACAAATTCCTTTACAGAAAAGTAGTAATTAAATTTGAATTTTAAGAAACCACTGTTATGAAGAATTTATTCTAGTCAAATCTTCTGATGGCTACGACACTTAGTATTCAGCTAGCAGAGGAGAATGGCAGAGCTAAGAGGATAGAGTTTTTAACAAAAGTTACTTTAAAAAACTGTCAAAATGGTAATAATCAAATATGAAGGGAGAAAGGATGTGGCACGCTCACTCTTGATTTCTCCAAGAAGCCACTCCAGATGCAGGCCAGGAACACAAGGACATGCACAGATGTAAGGTTCCATATCCTGGACGCCACCCGTCAGGGCGAGCAGGTAAACCAAACGCACCTTCACCAGCACTGCGCATGCGATCCTCCTTTCAGACATCTGACTTCCATGCACGCGCGACACCTTTAAATCGCACTACACACACACACACACACACACACACACACACACACACACACACACACACACACACACACACACACACACGGCAACTCTGGCAGCTCACACGGGCAAGGGCCCCATCCCAAATCTAACCTCCCTTGTGCCCCATCATCTGCCTCTCACCTCCTCCCACTCCTCCCTCTTTTCCCTACAGAGCTCCAGGTGCCATTGGTTGGCACGAATGTTTGAGTTGGCTCTTGCTCGCCAGCCAGGTAGTCCTGGGCCAAGGGACAGCACCTGCACATGCTATAATTAGACACTCTACACGGCTTTTAGTTCTCTGGAGGGCAAGAACCCCCACACGGCACAGTGAGCCGATGGGGCAGTGTTGAGACACTCAATCGTCCAACAAGGTTTTGCAAAAGAAGAACACTGAAAGTGAGGAACAGGTGCTTTGTACAGTATCAAAATCCCACTCTTGAGGAAAAAAAAAATTTTAACAGCAACTTAATGCTTGATAATGTTTGCTAGAGTTGTTTTTTCTCATTTCAGAGTTTGCCCACTATCATAGCACCACAATGTGGTAAACTATTTGCCCAAGTTCAAGGAAAATCAAAAGTCCTTACATTGAAGTTTGTCATTTAACATAGAACATTAATATCTAAGCACATAATTTACCAAATAAACAAGAATCACATTTCTGAAAACCCACTTACTAAGATGCTTAGTAGTTGAGATAGTTTTCCAGTAAATATGAACAGTCAAAAATAAAGGAAGGCTAGAGTTAAAGAAGACAAAAAACGAGTAACTTGAATCATGATTCGCAAATATTTAGGCATAAATACAATTTATAACATACTAACTTCCCTGCACTCCCATGGTTGCTCTGTTTGCTGAAAATGCCTTCAGATTAAGCCAAAATCAAGTAATTTTTTAAAAAAAAATCTTCCTAGTGATACTACTGATTTAACAACCAAAAACTAGTAATTATTACTGCTTTAACACTGGGCATTTGTGACAATGTAAGAGGTTAAAGGCTTGAAATTTAGCAGGTTCTTTTTATTCCTTTAAAGTGATAAGTTATTCTATGAGATGCTTGAATATGCATTACTTCCCAAAGAAAAAGCTAACCAAACCAGACATCACAGCCTGCCATCTTCCCACCCACAAACGTCCAAGAA